CGCGCACTGCTTTTGTCATTCTAGATTACGGTAACACACTGAGAGTGTGACCGTAATCTATGGCTGGTGAATGACGCGCAGTGTCCTCTAGGCGCTGGATATGAGAGAGCACGGACAGTTGAAGATTATTCAATTGGTGATTCATGGGCGCTGCAAATCATTTTCTTTGTTCGGATCATCCCACATTAGTTTAAGAAAATAATCGCGGATTTGCCAATACTTAGTTCTAGGGGTTATTGTCGCGCTGATATCATCACAGTCATTTTGCACACTAATGCCATGTGATGGATACGGTAGGATGTAGGGGTGTCAAAATCAGCGATTTGCCCGAAACCCTGCAAGAAAGCCCTATTGGGGAGTTACTGCGCGTTGCAGTGTATATATGAACACTTTCCCTCTTTCATGCCAATATATCCCAAAAATCCGTTTTATCATGCAAAATGAGCGCAACAGTTAACACTTCAGATAGTATGCTGGCGCAGTTTGGATAGATCTACCAGTTTGGCCACCTACGTACATCTATCGTATCCACGTAAAGTCACAATGCAAAAAGTTTGATACTTGCAAACAGCGTGCCTGAGAATTCTCCTAGGCAAGTATCGAGCAGATTTGCAAGTTTCACCCATTTACAGTATGCCGACTGTCAAAAACACCGCTACCGTACTAAACGTAATATATCCATGTTCAGCGTGCCAAATAATCTTTTTAGACCAATTTCGAGCGAATCCGAGATTTTTCCCTTACCGTAACACTGACGTTACTCTCCGAAGGCATTCGTGTAATTAAAGTTCAAAAGAGAATGCTGGAAAGGCTCTAGTTGTTTGGTAAACAAAAAAGGAAGTTCCAATACAACGCAAACCGTGCATGACAGACGTGTAATGAAGGCGAGGACTCATAGACAAAGAAACGTAAATAACTCGAAACTTACTGGCTTTGTTTTTTGGTGGCCGAAATAGCGATTACGCAATTATCTTATACATTCTAGCATGCACTTCGGCTGGGACTGCTGCTAAACTGTGAAATACCACCCAGTTGTCGCTTCGATCGTAAGCATTACTTTTACGCTGACATGCCAGCTGGGTAAGATTATTCGCAGTTATCGAGAGGAAGTTTGGTATTATTATTTAAGGTACCAAATAACTCAAAGCGAACGACCGATTGCTAGAAATGGGAAGTTCCGCTTTTCTGTTTACAGTGAAGATGTGCAATCGTACACAAAAGAGGTTATTTATTTTCATTTCAAGATTGTGCCCGATGTCTTAGGATAATATTT